TGGCGCCCAGGCGCCCGCCTCCCTCCCTCCGTCCTTCCCTCCCTCCCTCCCTCCCGCTGGGCTCCTGGCCGCACGGAGGGGGCGGCTTTGTTTCCTGGCAGCGCGGGGTGGACAGTGGGACCTCCCGCAGCAGTGCGTGTGCTGTTAGAGGGTCGCCTCCCCGTATCCTGAGCTGCCTGATGCCCGCACAGTGACTAGCGAGCCACCTTCTCTCCCCCCCCGCCCGCCACCCCGGGGGCTCCGAACCCCGGCTCCACGGAGTGGTTCGGGTCGCCAAGGGCTCCGGGCCGGGTTGAGTTGCTTTGTCTCGGACAAAGAGCTCCTGGTGGTGCGGCGGCGGCGTGGGCGCAGGGCGGAGGGGCGCAGGGCGGGGATGGCATCTCTGCGCCCCGAGGCCGGAGGCCGGACCGTGGGTGTCAACAAAGGGCCGCGCCGACGGCCCACTCCGAATCGGAGCTCCCAGAGAGGCCCGGACGCACGGGGGCGGGGTGGTGGGGGAGGAGGCAGGTGCATCTGCGCGTGGGGAGCAGGCCTCCCCCGGCCCCAGCCCTCCCCTCAGCCCTCGCCGGGAGCAGAGGAGGGTCTGGGCCTATGCGCCGGCTCCATAAAGGGGTTCCGGCGCGGCGCTCGCGGGGACCCCGGGCTGCGCGGGAAGGAGCGCGCCGGCACAGGGGCAAGCGCGGGAGCTGGACACGGAGGGAGGGAGCCCGGCGCAGGGCCGGGAGGGTCTTCCCCGGGGCCCGGAGGCCAGGTCCCGCCCGGGGCAGTGGGCCGGAGGCGCGGAGCGGGCCCCGGGAGCGGAGCTCACCGTGATCCGGGGGATGCTCTTCTTGCCCTGGAAGGACATCCTGCTCCTCCGGCTGCGCCGCCGTCTCCTTTGGCCGGCGCGGCCCAGTTCGGGAGTTGCAGTCCTGGGGGTCCCCGGCGGCGGACGCACGAGCTAGGCCTCGACGTGGGGGCGCACAGAGCCCAGGCGTGCGCGTGGGGGCGCCGGGCGTCCAAGTGGGAGCGCGCTGAGCCGCGCGGCTCCGTTGCCGGCCCCGCCCCCGGCCCGGCCCCGCCCCCGGCCGCGCCCCCCGGCCCGCCGCCGCCGCTCTGCTTTCAAGCCCCGCCCCGGCCGGGCTCGGTGACTGTACCAGCAACCCCGGCCCTAGGCGCGAGCTGAGGCCCCGGACCGGCCCCTGCGAGGACCGAGAGGCGAACTTGTTTAGGGTGGGCAGGAGGAGAGGGTTGCGACCGGTCCCGGCCAGTGTGTGTGCAGAGTCTGCACCCGGGATGGAGAGTGAGCGTTCCGACAATGTCCTGCCAGGACCCCCTTCCACCCTGGCCGGCCGAGGGACCGCCACCAGCTCCCTGATGACCCGAGGCACCCAGGGCCGCGGGGATTGAATGCAATCTCAAGTCCAGGCTCAGGCTGGACTCCGTCCGGAAAGACGTTTCAGGCCAAAGCCGGGCTCCTTGGAGTATTGCCCGGGCAGGGATCGGAACGCCAGGTCATGCGCTGGCCCTGGGACCGGACAGTGGAGACACCTCATTGTGAAACACCTCATTGTGAGGCTGCCCCAGGGCCAGCCCCGCGAAGCTTGATGTCAGGTGGGAGGTTGGAGAGACACAGAAGGGATAGAAAGAGACCGAGAGAGACACAGAGAGAAAGAGCTACCCAGGACCCAGGACGGACCGGAGAGGCAGACCAGGGCAGGAGAGGCCAGGCCTCCGGGCGGGTTCTGAGGAGGGGGGCGCGCAGGATAGAAGTCCAGGCTCAGACACGGCCAGTCAGGGAGAAGAAGTTCCCGCCGCGAGCCCTCGCGTCCCCTTGGAGGAGCTGGGGGCTGGTGGAAGAGGGCGAGCCCCTGGACTGCGCCCCAGCGGCCTCCGGCGTGGACGTGTGGCGTCTCAGGGAGTCCAGGGCCCGCGTCCCCCTCTCACTGGCCCCGATGCCCGCGCCTCTGCACTGCGGCCACTACCTGCTGTGGGCCGCGGGGCTGGGCCACGCTGGGCCTCTCTGGGAGACTTGTGGCAGCCTCTGGGCCGTCTCCGCCTGGCTCGCTGCGTCCCTCCTGGTGGCAGCTTGGCCCGCTGTGGGGCTCTCCTGCTCGCGGACCCTGGTGTACGCCTCCCCGCGCGTCCAGCTGCAGCGTCTTGTTCTCAAAGGCGTCCTCCAGGCAGCGGAAGACTCCGCCAAGCTTGGGCCGGCCCGGGCCTTCCTATGCCCCGCATCCCCGGGCACGCGGGCCGAGCCTCTGCTGGCTCCTGCGGCCGCTGTGCTGCCACAGCGGGAGCCAGCGAGGGGCGGCGGTTCCTGGAGCCTCCCGTGGCGGGGTCTGCGAGTTCTCGTGGACTGGGCGGAGCCGGGCCTGGCGCCCCCCCCCCAGCCCCCCAGCCCTCCCCCCACCCCTCAGCCCGGCCTGGCATCCGCTCGGAGCTGGCGCTGTCCACGCAGGGAGTGCTGAACGCTCCGGATCTGGGCCGAGGGCGCGCGTTCTGTCCCAGCGAAGCTCCGCAGCTCGCCCCCGGGGCAAACCGGGGTTCCGACCTCCCGCTCAACCCGCAGAAGGGCAGGCGGGGACCACGCACGGAAGAAACCACAGTTTTTCGGAACTCCAGCCACATTTCCAGGCCCTGTGGGCGATCTCACGTCAGGGAAGGAGGCTCTGACTCTGAAACATTTGGCAAGTCGGGAGGGCCAGGGCGGGGGAGGAGGGGAGGGAATGCGCCCACGGGAGCTGCTCCTGACTGCCCTTAAAAACAAGTTCAGGGCTTCCCTGGTGGCGCAGTGGTTAAGAATCCGCCTGCCAATGCAGGGGACACGGGTTCGAGCAGGGGAACAGGGGACATGTGGTCTGGGAAGATCCCACATGCTGCGGAGCAGCTAAGCCCATGCGCTGAGCCTGTGCTCTAGAGCCCGCGAGCCACAACTACTGAAGCCCGCGCGCCTAGAACCCGTGCTCTGCAACGAGAAGCCACCGTAATGAGAAGCCCGCGCACCGCAACAAAGAGGAGCCCCCGCTCGCCATAACTCGAGAAAACCCGCGTGCAGCAACGAAGACCCAATGCAGCCAAAATTAAAATTAATTAATTAATTTAAAAAATCTTCAAGGTTTGGGGTGAGACACAGTAGGAGGACTCTCAGCCCACCCAGAGTCATAGGGCGATGCTGTCACTCAGTCGAGCCCTGCAGGGACTGTTTTTTAAGGAAAAGACATCCCAACCCTTCCGTTCTGTCAGTGCAGCTGGAATTTCAAAGCGTAAGTTGGGACAGTAAGAGTCAGTGCGAGGACACTCCAGTACTGGCTGGCATAAGAACACCTGCAGAGCTAAATCATCACTTTCCCATCCCCTTGTCCCAGTCCCACCTTGGTTTTCCACTCCCCCAAAGAGATCAAACAGGCTTTAATCACCTGTGTGGGATCACTGTGACTAAAATTTGTTATTCATTCACAGAAATTCTTTCACCATTCTCAGTGGTTTGACTTTTCTTTTCTGGTTCTCATTTGACAAACAGCTACAGGAGCAGTCCTCCCTGGTGGCTGACTTCAGCCAGATGCTGCCAGGACCTCTGATTTCAGAGCCTGTGCTCCAGAAGACTCCCCATGACTTAGTTTGAGGCTATATGTGAGATGCCCGGCAGCCCCTCCCCAGTGAGCAGAAGGCCCAAGTTCCCTTTCTGGTGTGGAAAGAGGCACTGTCTTTCAGAGCGTGGACATGGAACACAGAAGTGGCTAACATAGCCGATACGTCCAAACTTTAATACTTTGTGAGGAGGAGAACTTTGATATTCTAAGACTTAAAACAACCTTTTATTAAAAACTGTACAATAATTTACAAATGAGTAAAAATTCTCTGGTATATATCATAGGAATCACAATACAAAAATATGTGTAAAATTTTGTAGTTGATCACGATACAAACCTATTTTAGGCCTCTGAATACTGTTTAGCACTGAACAGAGTTATCAGGTGTTTAGAGTGTGGTTATTAAGCAATTGCTTCAGGGAACACAAATACTGCCTGGCGCATTGCTGTGAGAAAACAAGTCCTCATTCGTTTCTGCATAAATTTACAATAAAGCTTTTTAAAAATATACAGTAAACAAATATATGACTTGATACATAATTTACACCTTGATTTTCCTGAGCCTAAACGTAAATCCATTACTGTGTTAAAACACACAATCCATCTAAAGGTCAATGATGCAGTAATGGTCAGTGTAGATTAATGTCACAGCGCCTCCAAACCCACTCCTGGCACACCCTCCTTCCTGACTGCCAGAGTTGGTGTTCACAGCCCTGTAAGGCACTCGGGGCGTCCTGAAGGCTACAGGTTCCTCGAGGGCAGAGCCCTTTAAGGAAGAGCCACGGTCCTTCAGCGACTGGAGCTCTAGACCATGGAAGCGAGGTACACACATCCGTGTCAACAAGGAAAGCTGAAATTTACATGGATTTGTAGTTTAGACAAATGAAAACATTTGTGTTTTTCTGGGTATTGTGCACACAGTGATTATGGCGATAACTGTTACGCTGTATACGTGTCCACGTCCCAGTTGCACAGTAAACACTTCTGTGCTTCAGCCTTTCAGGGTCCTTCCTCTTGCTGCATTAGGGAGTGGCACACTTACACACACACGTCCCCTGTTTGAAGAGCTAGCGGTAAGAGAGTCCCGATACTCGCAGGGAGTTCAGTCCAGCCCACTGGCTTTGCAACAAGGTACACTCTAGAATTTAGAAAGCACATGTTATCATGAAATACTTGAATTCTTCAGATGCTCATTGGACCAGCAGGAATCAGTGACAAAGGCTCATGTTTGCCCCTTTCTCTCTCTTCTTCTTTTTTTTTTTTGGTATGCGGGCCTCTCACTGCTGTGGCCTCTCCCGTTGCAGAGCGCAGGCTCCGGACGCGCAGGCTCAGCGGCCATGGCTCACGGGCCCAGCCGCTCCATGGCATGTGGGATCTTCCCAGACTGTGGCACGAACCCGTGTCCCCTGCATCGGCAGGCGGACTCTCAACCACTGCGCCACCAGGGAAGCCCTTCTTCTTCTTTTTTGTTTTGCAAAAGCCCAATCCTGAAATGCTGGATTTTGTAATCAGGTGAAAAGAAGGTGCCTATGATACATGAATAAGAACAATATCTGAAGAGAAGAATTGGCATTGCAACTGAATGTGTGCTTTCCTGAATGTACCAAATGCAGTTTGGTACGTGAAGTATTATTTAAAACATTCATTGAGCCACTTTCCCTTTCCAGTGCACATCCTTTCTACATACAGACAATAACAACTTCATAAGCACTGGTACATATTTACATGCTTCTCTTTCCTGTAGACTTTGCCTTCTTTTAAAAATTACAAAGCTGTGCTTAAGAGTGTCTGGGGTGTGGGGTTGCATATGAAGAACTCCAGACATATGTAGGACAATGATGACCCAAATAAACTCGAGGGGCGTGAATCTGCGTTTCACACGCACATTCTGGGATCTGAAATGGCCAACCTGCATAGCTGCTGTCCCCGCACAGGTACACATGGGGTGGGCAGGCCCACGGGGAGTGCTTGGAGCTGCGGAGTGCTTCTGCATGCTTCCATCCTACAGTCCATCAGGCTTCAATCTGGGAGTTCATCCATAGCTCCACGGCGGCTTTTGTTAACACAAGACTATTGTCTGCCGTTTGGTTCTGAGTACGACAAATGTGCCAAGACAATGCCGTCATTAGACCAAAACTAAAGTATGCAGGAAGGACTCAGCCAGATTTCGGACTTGAGATACAAACCCTGACTCCAAGCTCAGCTGGAGAAGCAGTGAACTGGCCCCGTTTTTTGTTCAAGTGACTAAGTGACTGTGGCTTTAATGACAATAGAAAGGATGTGTCCTTCTTGGACAAGTGTTGATTAACAATGCATTGCCCAGCGGAAAACCTGCACCCTCTAGAGAAAAAAGCACGTCTGTCTGATCCTATAAGCTTTCTCCCAGTTCATCCTGGTCTGGCTGCCACTGTCGTCTGCACCGTAGTTGAACGTTTCTTCCGACACAAATATAAAGTGAACCTAACACTTCCAGACAACATAGGCGCACCTCCCTCCAGCCACTGGGCGATGCAGTTTATGTTTCTTTTATACAATGTTGTCCGTTACATTCTCGTCTGGCTGCACTCTCATTACGTAGCAGGTCAACTTCTAGGTGCCTCAGAGAGCCCAGTCCTGTGCACTGTCTTCTGATAGAGCACAAGCGTGTGCTCACACACAGACTCATGCGTGCACACACACATGCACACGTACCCCTTGCAAATTCAGCACTGACAGCACAACCTTAGGCCCCCAAGGGTGCGAGGTCAACAGATGCACCACCTCCAAGCCGTGAGTCGGCTGTGGACCAGGATGCTCGGCAGGAATGGAAATCACGCTTCAAATAGGCTTCAGCGACGTGCTGCTTCTCCTCTGCAAAAGAGTGAAGACAAATGCTTTCTGTTAGTGTGAGACATCTGAGCCACTGGCGGGGACTCCCGGCGGGGAAGGTCTGGAGAAATGACCAGGCGCTGGCTCTGTAGGTGGACATCCGGTTGTGGTGGCTCCAGCCCAGGATGGCGCCACACTTGAGCCTCTGTCTGGGAGATGCAAACGGCTCTTCCCAGGAGATGCGAGGCCACAAAGACGAGTCCCCGTGCCCCATGAGACCATGTGCAGAAGCGACCTCAGTGCCCCCTCCCACCTGTGGGAGAGTGCTCACGTTTCCACCCAATTTTCATTTCTTCTTAGTACTTAGAAAGTGGGCCTCTGTTAGGTACTAATTCTTCCTTTTCACCTTTTACATCTTTAATATTTAGAAGTTAAGAAGGAGCCTCCCAGGTTCTTTCTAACATGGAGGGCGGACCCTGGAGCAGCTGCTGGAGCAGCAGCATCGTGGGTGAGAGGCGAGGGGGAGGGGGAGGGGAGGGGGGGGGGAGGGGGGAGGGGCGGGGTGGTGGAGCGCACCACCTGGGGTCACAGACATTAGAAACTCCACAGAGTTTTTTTGGTTTTTAACTTTAAAACTAACTTCTCAGTCAGAGGACACTCCACTAAGTAGAATGAACGCTAAACGCATTAGAATCGCACGTGTGCTTACTTTACCGAGTATCGCACACATCATCGTTGAAATCTGCTGCGTTAAACTTACATTGTTCCTTATGCCTGCAATCTGATCCATCTCTAAATAGGTTCTAGTCAATTCATCCACTTCTAGTGTGTTAGAAAGGACCCTCTCATTTTGCAGATGGAAAAGCTGAAGCCTGGAGATTACAAGGGGTTTCCCGAGCTCGCAGTTCTAGGCTGGCCAGAGCCAGGGCCCTGACCACCTGCTCACCGCCCTCCACGCATGTCACTGCCTTCCTGAGCTAAGATGATAACTGTCTGGGCTATGAGCTGCACACACGCAAACACAGAACAAGAATCTTGGCGAAAATAAGGTGCAGAATTCAAAACAGTCACTCCCCAGTTTGAAGGGACAAGGTGACAACATTTGGCTGCCTGAGGTCACTTGATCCTCTCCTGAGCCAGTCCTACCCTACTTTGCTAATGTTCACCACCACTGTGCCCAGGACGGATGGCTTTCTGCTTTCTCTGGGACTGCAGCACTACACATGCACACTTACACGCACACACACATACACACGCACACACGCACCGAGGCATGCTTCTGCTTCCAGGCTTCCAGACCTCTCAAGTCCCTACAGGCCCCTCAGTCCCATGTCCTCCGATATGGTGTCCTCCACCCCTCCCTTTTCGGCCACTGGCCCAACTTCCTGACCATCCCCCCAGTCAGCCCAAGATCTCACCACGTTGAAGCCATGCGAGACCCAGGACAGGTGAGTGTGGGGTCATCTGGTGGGTCTGCCCTTGGTCCCCTGGCCTTGGGGGGCTCCTCATTCAAGAGTGCCTCTTTGGGCAGAAGCTGAGCTGCAGTCTGCACAGGGGCCTGCCTGCCAGGTTGGCCCTTGATTGGCATCTGGAAACCTGGCCTTTGAAACTCTCCCGGAGAGAAGAGGTTGTGCTCGTGGTCTGGCCTAGACTGTTTGTACAAATGATGTGATTTACGGCAAACACCTGCTTCCTTCTGAGGGCCGGCATTCTAACGGGCAGGCGGTGCCCAAATGGGTAGCCCAAGTACCAACCCTGAGCTCCGAGTCTCCAATGGACACCCCCGGCTCCCCAGCAGAGACAGCGCACACACACAGCTGCGTTTTCAGGCTGGGGAGGGTGTGCTCTGTGCGGCCAGTGTAGGGAATCTGCTCCTGGGTCCCTCCAGCCTCCTCCTGTGTCTTCTGCCCTTACAGAGCCAGCTGCCTACCTTGATGACATCACTGCAATAGATCCGAGCCGTGGCACCACTCTGTACTGAGTCCTGAGAATCCTGGTGGGCCACTGAGCCTGCGGGTGGTCTTGGGGACCTGGGAGCACCCCACTTCCACTGTTTTCTGGAACCTCAGGAGGCCGTGAGGCTGCAGAATGGAGAAGACATGGCCTTTGGCCTTCGTGAGCACGTCGGTCCACTTACTGGGTCGTCATTTATCTGACTGTGAACTAGTGGCCAGGCACGACCTGAGTGTGTACTGGGGTCCACACAGAGGATTCCACAGTGAGCGAGCTGGGCACGTCCCACACAGAGGATTCCACAGTGAGCGAGCTGGGCACGTCCCTGCGTGTGCAGCGCTTCACAGAGAGGCGGGAGGACAGTGCACTGATGGAGACGAGGATGCACGTTGTGTGGGAGGAGGGACGCAGGGCGTGGAGGGAATCATGGCACGTGGTGGTGCTCCCAGCCCAGGGGGGGCGGAGTCTGCTGGACTACTGCCTGGTGAGGGGTGATGTCTCGATAACGGTGGGCACCGCGGACCGCACCCTTACCTTCCTTCTGGAGGGAGAGGTTACGTGATTTTATATCGGGCTGCGCTGAGGGTGGGAGATGAGGTATAAAGGACAGGAGGACGTTGATAAACAACGTCACTAAGTGGGTTCATTTCATAGCTACCAACATGGACAGACGAGGGACAAGAGGACAGGAGGGCATCTGGCCAGACCACGGCCCAGCTGGCAGCAGGGCTATTTTTACATTGGTGCCCAGCCCAATAGGCACAGAGATGTCAGAACCTCGCTCAGAGCTGCAGAAGCAGAATTCTCACAGTAACACCCGTCGGTAACAGACGCAAATGCATTCGTACATATGGATTAGGAAAAAACACTCTGATTTATGTCAAAATAGAGTCCAAGTAACCGGCCCTGCCGCCTGTGTTTGTGCTGGGGAGTCCCACTGGGACCTCAGCTGTTGGGAAACATGAAGCTGTTGGTAGGGATGACCAGCACCTTCCTGGGGTCAGAACCAACTACACTGAGCACCGTGGGAAAGCCCAAGGGGCCTCTCGGGGTTTCCAGAAACACACACAAGACAAGTGAACCCGGGTCCGCACACTGAACCCAGAGGTCCAGGCGGGCAAGAGCCCAACTCCACAGGCACTTGGCAGGGGTAGGGCCCTGCAGCCCAGATCTTTGCTCTCTGCCCCCAAACACACCCCCACTCCAGGCCCCAGCCCCTCAGAAGTAACCCACACAAATCCATGTATGATCAGCTTATGGGACAGCGGAGGGTGGGCTAAAACCAGAACCTCTCCACGTGAGAACTACTATTCTGGGAAGTCGTAGACAAACATTTTCAAACCCAACAGAAACAGATGGCGACAACAAACTCGTTTGGGGCCAAGGTCTTCTTTCCCCAAAGCTCTGACTTGGGGGAAATATCAAGAAATAGATGGTCTTGGGGACTTCCCTGGTGGTCCAGTGGTAAAGAACCCACCTTCTAATTCAGGAGATGCGGGTTCGATCCCTGGTCGGGGAACTAAGATCCCACGTACCACGGGAACTAAGTCTGCGCGCCACACCTAGAGAGCATGTGTGCCGCAAACTACAGAGCCCGTGTGGTCCATGTACCACAACTAGAGAAGAGAAAACTGGCACGCCGCAACTAGAAAGAAGCACGTGCGCCATGACGAAAGATCCCACATGCCACAACAAAGATCCCGTGTGCCGCAACTAAGACCTGATGCAGCCAAATAAATAAATAGATAGATAAATAAATAGATAGATAGATAGATAAATAAATAAATAAATAAATAAATAGATGATAGATAAATAAATAAATAGATAGATAAATAAATAAATAGATAGATAAATAAATAGATAGATAAATAAATAAATAGATAGATAGATAAATAAATAAATAAAATAGATAGATAGATAAATAAATAGATGGTAGATAAATAAATAGATAAATAAATAGATAGATAAATAAATAAATAAAATAAATAAATAGATAAATAAATAAATTAAATAAATAGATAGATAGATAAATAGATAGATAGATAAATAAATAAATAAAATATGTTTTAGAAAACTTACAAGAAACGAAATAGGTGGTCTCGCCCAGACCCAGTTTAGCTTCCTTCTCACCCCTTCTGCCCCCATCAGCTCTCCACAGGGCCTTTCCATCAATCCCACAGACGGTGACAGTACTGCTGTCAGTCTCCCAAACCTGGGCCATTTACAAGGTCCTTCTCCCAGCCCCCCACAGAGGAGAGCCCACTGCGGGAGGCCCACTCTGCTCCAGGGCGGTCCACGCTCACGCCGTGCTCTGCTCAGGGTCTCCTCCTGGTTTTGACTCTGCAGCTGCCTAGTGGACACACAGTAAAGGCGGCAGCCTATTTACGGAGATGGTCACACATGGGTGTGTTGCCCCAGCGCTCTTGAAAGTTGCGATGGTTCACGTTATGTGTCAACTTGACCGGGCCAGGTTTGCCCAGGCGTTCACCAAACTTTATCCTGTGTGCTTGGTTGGGGGGGGAGGGAGATTGAGGGTGTTTCTGGATGAGATTAGCATTGAATGGTCGGGTGAGTAAAGCCCATGGCCCTCCCCAGTGCAGGTGTGCCTTGTCCAATCAGCTGAAGGCCCGACTAGAACAAAAATGCTGAGGAAGAGGGAAACCCTCTGCCTGACTGCTGAGCGGGGACAGGGGTCCTCTCCTGCCCTCAGACTTGGACGGACACATGGGCTCTGCTGGGGCTCCCGCTTGACGACCACAGATCTTGGGGCTTCTCAGCCTCCATAGATGTACGAGTCAATTTGTTACAGTAATTCCCTCTGTCTATACGGACAGGCCGATGGAGAGAAATATGGACAGATGGATAGACGTGAGCCAGCCTACCGGTTCTGTTTCTCTGGGGAACTCAACTCTACAAATGCATTACCTGGCTAGCCACCCAACCTCAGGGGGTGACCCCTTTTCAAAGCAGGAGGCCCAGGTGGACACAGGTCAGCTCACCTGTCGTGGCCACGTGGCTAAGAGAGTGCAGAGGGAGGACCCGAGCCCCGACCCGTGTGACCCCAGAGCTGCCCTTCCCACCTCGCTACC